ATAAATAATTTTAAAAACTAATTTTAACTCTTGAAATTTTTCTCCTCATTCCCAAAGGTGCTCTGGTTTGGACGGTAAGAAAATCACTGTAAGTTTCTGAGTAAAAAAACCACTGTAAGGACTAATTCTATCATGCCTTTATCCTCTTTGTGACATAACTACAAGAAGCCAATGATTACCAAGTTATTTCTCACCATCTGGATTCTCCATCCTCACAAAGCAATGTTCTGTCCCTCATCTGACCCCTCTCTCCCTGACCCTTCCACTGGGCCTCTTGAAATTCACGGTCAGGCACCAGAAAAATCTCTCCATCCTCAGCTTTTTTTCCCAACATTTCTTCTGAGAACACTGCTTCATCTTCAGCCCTCTTAAAGGGTGGCTGATTTTTCTTCTACATTCCTGTGGGGTCTATTGATGGGCCTCCCTTGCATTTCACTATTACTTCCATTCTATTGCTACAAACTATTCTTTAAAAAAAAAAAAATGGCAAAAAACTGCTATCAAAACACCTACAAATCACTAAAGAGAAATCTCCCATGTTCCCTAAGAATTTTTAGCACAAGTCTGGCTCATTGTCATTCTCTAACACTATTCCTATCGTAATTCTTAGTATTATCAGTCCATATAGACAAAGACTTACACCAAACCTTGTCTTCCACCTCATCCTCAAACTCCCATGGTCATAGCATAAATTTTGTCTTTATCAATATTGCAACTGCTTCATAACTTCAATTTCAATCACCCTAATCACTTATCTTTTCACCTTATACCCTTAATATCCTAACTTCAACAATTTTTTTACTTCTATTAGGATCTAATCTATTGAAACTACTTCCTCACTGTCTCTCACTCCCTTCAAATACTCACATCCCTCCTAATCTGGCTTAGATTCCAGTCTGTCCTTCAGATCAGTCCTTTACCTCATCCTCAAACTCTCTGACCCTTCTTCACTGTGTCATACTTACCTGGCAAAATCCCTATCTATGCCTATTAATAAATTTGCACTTGAAGCGCCTGGGTGGCTCAGTTGATTAAGTCTCTGCCCTTGGCTCAAGTCATGATCCTGAGGTCCTGGGATCGAGCCCCACTCGATGGGAGGGAGCCTGCTTCTCCCTCTCCCTCTCCTCTTACCCTGCCTGTGTGCTGTCTCTCTCTCTCTTCCTTAAACAAGTAAATAAAATCTTAAAAAAAAAAAAAAAAAGTTTGCACTTGCAGAGCTAAACACAGCTAGAGAAAAACACATAACTGGGTTGTCTGGTCTCACTTTAAATTTGTGATCACTAATCTAAAGTAGGCTTAGTGCTGCCCAGTATTCCACCTAACATTTCCCTAGGCCTTTCAGCTTTCCCTCTCTTCTGAACATCTATCTCATATATACTCCTCTTTCTTCAAACCTTTACTGCCTCCCACTCTTAACTTTGCTTATTTTACTCAGAAAACAGAAGCAGTCTACAGAAATTGGCTGCATGTTCTCCCCATCCCATTTAGGTGCTCCTTCCTTCCACTTGTGAATTTGACCATGCTCTTACCTTTGGCCACTGTCTCCCCCTTATGCACTATACCGTAGCCCCTCTCACCTACTGAAGACTCCAGAATTCTCCCTCTTTCTTTTTTTTTTTTTTTTAAGATTTTATTTATTTATTTGACAGAGAGATCACAAGCAGGCAGAGAGGCAGACAGAGAGAGAGGAGGAAGCAGGCTCCCCGCCGAGCAGAGAGCCCGATGCGGGGCCCGATCCCAGGACTCTGAGATCATGACCTGAGCCGAAGGCAGCAGCTTAACCCACTGAGCCACCCAGGCGCCCCTCCCTCTTTCTATTCTAACATCAACTTATTCCTCTCTGTCAGATCATCCCCACTCATACACTTACTGTATCTCTCACCTTAAAACAAAGACCTTTCCTGACCTCAAATTCCTATCCAACTACCCTTGCTCTTTATGTGTCATCCTTACTAACTCCAGTTCCTTCCTTTCCATTTTCTTGAATCTACTGCAACAAGGTTTTCATTCTTACCACTCCATTAAAAAAGCTCAAGATCATCCAATGCCTCCATATCACTAAATCTAATGTTGGATTCTCAGTCCTCAACTTGACCCAACACCATCTGACATAGTTTATTACTTCTCTCCCTTTTTTTTTAAAGAATTTATTTATTTGACAGAGAGAGACACAAGAAGAGAGGGAATATAAGCAGGGGGAGTGTGAGAAGGAGAAGGAGGCTTCCACCAGAGCAAGGAGCCTGATACGGGGCTCCATCCCAGGACCCTAGGATCATGATCTGAGCCAAAGGCAGAAGTTTAACGAATCACCCAGGTGCCCCACTTTATTATTTCCTTCTCCTTAAAATGTTTATATTTCAGGGCACCTGGGTGGCTCAGTGGGCTAAGCCTCTGCCTTCAGCTTGGGTCATGATCTCAGGGTCCTGGGACTGAGTCCCACATCGGGATCTCTGCTCAGCATGGAGCCTGCTTCCCCCTCTCTCCCTCTGCCTGCCTCTCTGCCTACTTGTGATCTCTGTCAAATAAATAAATAATTTTTTTTTTTAAAAAGCTTATATTTCATTTGCCTTCTAGACATCATTCTTGTCTCTTGATTTTCTGCTTTTCCAGTCACCTTTTCTTAGTCTCCTTAGCTGGATCTTCCTCTCCAACTTGATCTCTAAATGTTTTGGAGTGTCCCAGGGCTTAGCCCTTGAACCTTTTTCCTTTACATTTACTCTATCCCTAGGCGATTTCATGTAAGTTCATAGCATTAAATATCTACTTATTGACAACTTCCACATGTAGATTTCCAGCCTGGACCTCAATCCTGATCTCCAGGAAAGATCAGCAAAAGATATAGATTTCTAGGGTGCCAAGGTGGCTCAGTCAGTTAAGAGTCTGTCTTCAGCTCAGGTCATGATCCCAGGGTCCTAGGATCAAGTCCATCAGGCTCCCTGCTCAGTGGGGAGTCTGCTTCTCCCTCTCTTTGTGCCTGCCACTCTGTCTGCTTGTGATCTCTCTCTCACTCTCTCTCTAATAATAAATAAATAAATAAATATTTTTAAAAAAATATATAGATTTCTGTTTCTAGCTTACATTTATTACTTCTCTTAGCTTTCAACCCATTTTATCCAACTGTCTGCATCTCTAATTGATCTCAAAGAAATATTCTAAATGTCCAAATGTAAATTCCTAATCTCCACTCTCATTCTACCTCTGAAATAAGCTCCTCTCCAAGCATTTCAGAGATCCGTGAATGGCACTATCATTTCTCCAAATGTTACATCCAGAAACATAGACATTATCCCATACATCTCCCTCTCCTTCATCTTTAATGTCTGATCCACCCTATTGATTCTACCTTTTAAGTATTTCCTGAATGTATCCTTTTTTCCATACACATCTTCTCTAAGCTTCCATCATACTCTACCAGAGCAATACAGATCCCAGTCTTTCTGCATCTACTTCTACTCCTCCAATTCATCCTCCACATAACTTCTCAAAAACAAGAGTCTGGTCTCATCTCTCTGCTTCAAATTTTTAACACATTCCTACTGCTTTTAGTATAAAAAAAAGATTCCTTAATAAAGTACAGAAGGTCCTGGTTAGGATAACCACTACCTACCTTCACAGATTCATCTCTCATCAGCCCCCGTATCACACTCTATATTTTGGCATCCCTAGCTTTCTTTCAGTCCTTTGAGCATGGTCCCTACCCCCACTGGAATTTTGCAGTGTTCCCTCTGTCTGGAATGCCACCACTACCACCTCACTGCCATCACCACCCCATCTCTTTTTACTCCCTAACGTCTACTCAATCTTCAGATCTCATCTCAAGAAACAACCCCTCAGAGAAACCTTCCCTGCTTCCTCAAGCTGTATCAACTTCCTTTCAAATATACGTATCATTGCACCTATCACTTATTTCTAAACATACATTTGCTTTTGTGATTAATTTGTGCTCAATGTATGTCAATTTAAAAAGACTTTAAAGTCAATTAAGGAATAGATTGTGCTTTGTACTACTGTACCTCTAGCTTCCACCAGACTTGACACCCAAGTATTCTTTTCAGTGAAAGAATCAACACAGGAGTGACAGTGGAAGCCACACAACTGGACAGTACTGCAGGGGAATGAAACTTAAAAAGGTAAAAGAGACCAGGGTTTTGGGAAAATATCACAATTTAGCAATCAAGCAGAGGAAATAAGTTGGGAAAAAAGCTATCAAAAGGGGGTATAGGGTAACTGAGTGATGGACATTAAGAAGGGTACCTGATATAACGAGCACTGGGTATTATATAAGACTGGTGAATCACTGGGGCGCCTGAGTGGCTCAGTGGTTAAGTGTCTGCCTTTGGTACAGGTCATGATCCCAAGGTCCTGGAATGGAGTCTGGCATCAGGCTCCCTGCTAAGCAGGAGGCCTGCTTCTCCCTTCCCACTTCCCCAGCTTGTATTCCCTCTCTGTCAAATGAACAAATAAAATCTTTAAAAAGAAAAAAAAAAAAAAAAAAAACAACTGATGAATCACCAACCACGACCTCTGAAAGCTAAAAATACATTATATGTTAATTTTAAAAATAAATTAATTTTTTAAAAAGCCGTCAAAAGGTTAAAAACAACAATGAAAAAATGAAATAGCATCACAAAAGCCACGGAAAGATATAATACCAAAAAGATAGAACAGGCCACTGAATTTGACAAGTAGGTGATCTGACAAAAAAATAATATGGGACGCAGAGAGGAAGGCAACAAAAGGAAAATACGGGGGAAAGGTCACGTCTTTCCAACTCGTCTGGAAATCTGATTTCACACTCGCTTTTCCGAGATACTAGTAACTACCATGTCGGTCCGAATGAACAATAAATCTAAGGAAAATATATGTGCCATTTTAGATTTCAGCCTTATTTCTCTCTACCTGGGTGAGTCATTTTAGGTTGACTACTTATCTACCTTAAAACAACAAAAGTGCTAATACTTACACCCGAAATATTGTTTTTGTTTTTCCAAGCACCTTACCTCCCCAAATCATCAAAACAGACATCTGTGTGTCCCTCTGTATGTCCAAATCTCATCGGCTTCTGTGTGGCAGGCATCTTTTCTTCTACCTACCTAAAAATGTTTTATAAAAGCTGATATTATTTTAAAGGTGAGGAAAGACGGTGGCTGATGGGGAAAGGAAGTTAGTCTCCGGCGGCCCCTTTTCCCCCACCCTGGTGGCACAAACAAGATATAGCAGAGGGTCTGCCAGACAATAAGCCGGGAAAAGGACACGCTTCCCTTCGGTGAGCGACACGGGTACCGGCAGCGGGAACGAGTACTCACCAAATGGACCAACCTCCTCCACTGATGAAAAACGCGTTGCAACAGCCAACCGAGCGCCGCTTCCCGCGCTCTGGCGAACTCGCTACACTGCGCCTGCGCCCGCTCGCTCACGCCCAGCGCCGGGCGGGACCGAAGTCGCAGGGTGGTGGCGTCAGCGGCGCGCCACCTATAAAGGAAAAAGCCGGTTGCTAGGGGAGTGAGAAAGAAAGGGAGGGTGCCGAACACGGAAGTGATGGCAGCGCCTTGGGAGTAGGTGGAGGCGGTGACCGCAATGTGTGAGACAGGAACTCAGCGCCGACGGGTGGGGGTTTGCACAAAGACATCGGCCTTTTAGGACCTACACGAGGTGCAGAAGTGGCTGGGCCTCCCTTCTGCACCTTAGCGAACGCTCAAGAGGGATGGCGATGGTGATGGCGGCAGTTTCTCGGACAGCCCCAGTTAAGCTGCGGTCTGAGAGGTGAGTGGGGGAAGGGTGGTTGCTGCCTGGCTTTGCCGACTGGGGTCGGCTGTCGCCTTCCAGCCTCTCCTAACATGAAACCATATCCGAGTGCAGCTGAACGTGTGCAGCTCCTCCTTGGGGCCCAGTTAGAGAATGAGGTCTTTGAGCATCTTCTCTCAAGGAGACCGAGACCCTTCCCAAACCTTTAATCTTGGCATCCTTCGTGTCCTCACCTTGTCGTTTCTATAGAGATAAAGGAGGGAAGATTTTCATCTCAATTCTCAGTTCCAAGAGGTATGGCCTGCACATTAATGCTTATGGGGGGGGGGGAACCTCTCTACATATATGCCTTAAGAAGAAAGTAACTTGGGTTTCCCCCTTCACACCCCACCAAAAATTCTCTGAACTGCGTATTTAGAGCTAAAGGAAGAGCCAGAACTAAAGAATATTGTTGAATACTTAGTTCGCGCCTTACAGTCTGAACCAAGGTCTTGGCTATTAAGTTCATGATTTGATTGTGTCCCTGTGTTCTCCCATGTTGGTAGACAGGTCTGATGAATACCCTCACAGTTACATATTTTTGTGGTACCCACCTTCTAGTCTGCATCAGACACTAATTTGTGAACTAAGGGAGACGTTTTTCTGATGTAGACATTTCCCCATTGTTTTTCAACCTGGTTCCATTGTGAAAAGTTGCACAGTTACACAAACGGTGCTGTTGTTCTTCCTGTCTTGGCATTCTGTGAAGGTTGTTTCGAGTACTAGGGTTCCACATAGGCTTCCTAGATACTCAAGTTTGGTATGTTAATGAAGTAGAAAAATGGTTGGCTGAAAATGAACTTGGAATTTGTGGAAAAATAGCCAAACTATCATGGATTTCCCACAACAGCAAAAGACACCTGAGATGATTCTTTCTGAGTGACTTAATTTTATTTAGTTAATTTTATTTTTAATCATTCATTAATTTTTAGATAGACTGATTTGTAATTTTTTTTATCCAAGTAAATATCACTGGATAGACTATGGGATTGAAGTTGAACTCTGATAATATTTGTCTCTATATTGAATATATCTTGATGAGATTTCAGGGCAGTGCTATTCAGAGCTCAGCACAAAAAAAAATTGGAACAAGAGTTATAGGTATAAAATGCCCTAACTATGACATCTATAACACCATGTGACTTTAAAACTATGAATGGCTTTGTGGCCATTCATGGCCACATGAATGAATGGCTGGGTGGCTCAGTTGGTTAAGTGACTGCTGTCAGCTCCGGTCAAGATCCTGGAGTCCCAGGATCTAGTCCCACATCTCGCTCCCAGCTCAGCAAGGAGTTCTCTTCTCCCTTTGACCCTCCCGAGTCTCATGTGCTCTCTCTCTCTCTCTCTCTCAAATAAATAAATAAAATGTTTTTAAAAAAATAATTAAACTATGAATGGTATCTATATTTCTCTCCCTTAACTCTGCCTTAGCAATCAAGCCATTTGATCCATAGGTTAAAGAAAAATTTCCTTTACAGATTTCACATGTATGGAAAGAGCTTAGGCCTTAGAGTCAAACAGCCCCAGGTTTTAATCTTTGCTGGCAGTTATTCGTTGTATGACCTTGAATATGCTTTACTTTTTCTGAATGTCAGATTTCTTATTTCTAAAATGGAGATACCTGCTTCCATGGATTGTTATAGTGTATAGAAGATACTCGTAGATGTATAAAACTAATTGTTACTAATGTCTGGTGTTATTTTTTTTTTTTTTTAAGATTTTATTTATTTATTTGTCAGAGAGAGAGAGGGAGAGAGAGCGAGCACAGGCAGACAGAATGGCAGGCAGAGGCAGAGGGAGAAGCAGGCTCCCTGACGAGCAAGGAGCCCGATGTGGGACTCGATCCCAGGACTCCAGGATCATGACCTGAGCCGAAGGCAGCTGCTTAACCAACTGAGCCACCCAGGCGTCCCTAATGTCTGGTGTTATTAACAGGGTACCTTGGGTGAGTAGTTAGTGCTTTTATTTAAAATAGACATTGTTTTTGTTTAAATCATTATCCTGTAAAAGTTTTCAAGTATTAAAAGATATACTCTTACTTTTGCTGGTATTACATTTCTCTTTCAGTCAAATGCTGACAAATTTTAATGTCAGTGAGTTCATGGTCTTGATGGAAACAGACATTCAAACAACATGTACAAGATAGTGTGGTAATGAAATGCAAGTAATTTAAATGTTAGCAAGATACTGTGGTTATTTAGGATAATGTAGCCTTTAAAAAAGTCTGTTGTGGCTGTCAAAATTTTCCAAATGGATTTATTTATCATTAACAGTGGGTGTCTCATAGGAGTGGGTAGCTGAATGAACTCCCTGAAAATGACACCAAGATCACAGTTTAAACTGCTGTGAAAATTAGTTACCTTTGCTCTGTTGTGACCATTTATAGTGTCCTTACACTCACAAATAATGTTCTCAAGAGCAATAGGATGAGAAAACATGAATATATTACAATTCTGCTGATGGTGATGAGTATTAGCTACATTATGTACTCTTAGAGACTCAGTTTATTTAAGAAACATACCAGTATTGTGTTATGGAAGGAGTTTTAAAAAATGCATTTTCAACAAAATATGTACTTGATGTAAAAATCACCAATTATGTGAAAGATAAGGCTGGAAGAGAATGTTAAAATAACTGAAGAGAGGGACATCTGGGTGGCTCAGTCAGTTAAGCATCTAACTCTTGATTTCATCTCAGGTCATGAAATTTGAGCCCCAAGTGGCCTCTGCTCTGGGCATGGAGCCTACTTAAGATTCTGTCTCTCCCTCTGCCCCCAACCCCCATCTCTCTGACACGTGTGTGTTCTCTCTCCCGCGCTCTCAAAAATAAATGAGGAGAACGGAGTATTGAAGAAAATAATATCAAAGGCAATTTAGAAATCTGAAGATCTGTGTATCTCTGAAGATGTCCTGAAACTTACCAGCCTATTTAATTTATTTTTGGAGTAAATAATACTTGAATATGTGTAAACTTACTAAGTTATAAAAGACAATACAATAAAAGTTCTTTTCCCAGCTATCCAGTTCTTGTGGCTAGAGGCAGTGACAGTATTTGATTATGTTGTCACCTGGATAGTGGATCCTTCCATAGCAAGACAGATATAATCACACTTTTATTGATGAAGAAACCAACTCAGAGAGATTATAGTTTGTCCAAAGTCACATTCCTACCAAATGTCAAAATGAGAGATGGAGCGCAGATCTTTTACCTTCAGATTCAAGGTAGTCTACCATACTGCTCCTCCATATCATAAGTGTTGTCATAAAACTTAGAATTTAGTAAAACACATCAGGACACAAAAGCATTTTAAGTCTAGAGTCACCTTATACTAGTTTATTAAAACTTGTATTGGTAAAACTTATCACCCAAGCTTAAATATAAGGATATGTAATTTTTTAGGGTATGTAATTATTATGAAACAATGGAAAGAATAATTTATGATCAGTTAGAAGAAACTTTGCCTACTCTTTCTGTTGAAATCTATGTATTTACTAAATTTGCTTGCTAGAAGCTACATTTTTTTTTTAAAGATTTTATTCATTCATTTGACAGATAGGGATCACAAGTAGGCAGAGAGGTGATGGGCGGTGGGGCGGGGATGGGGTGGGGGGGATGGGGCCAGTAGGCTCCCTGCTGAGCAGAGAGCCTGATGAGGACCCTGAGATTATGACCTGAGCCAAAGGCAGAAGCTTAACCCACTGAACCAACCAGGTGCCGCAAGAAGCTACATCTTTTAATAATTAAAGGTTTAGGGCACCTGGGTGGCTCAGTGGGTTAAAGCCTCTGCCTTCAGCTCAGGTCATGATCCCAGGGTTCTGGGATTGAGCCTCACATAGGGCTTTCTGCTCAGCAGGGAGCCTGCTGCCTCCTCTCTCTGCCTGCTTCTCTGCCTATTTGTGATCTCCGTCTGTCAAATGAATTTTAAAAATCTTTAAAAAATAATAATAATTAAAGGTTTAGTTATTTATATCTGTAAATATTTTTAAAGAATTTAAAATTTTTTAACTTTTTAAAAGGACAGTGTTTAATATCAGGAGTAATATAAAGTGCTTCATTATATTTCAGAAATGCTGAAGCTGGGCCACCTGGGTGGCTCAGTGGGTTAAGCCTCTGCCTTCGGCTCAGGTCGTGGTCTCAGGGTCCTGGGATTGAGTCGCTTGCTTGCTGTTGTCTGGCTGGCTGCTCAGCAGGGAGCCTGCTTCCCCTTTTCTCTCTGCCTGCCTCTCTCTGCCTCCCTCCCTACTTGTGATCTCTCTCTTTCTCTCTCTGTCAAATACATAAATAAAATCTTAAAAAAAAAAAAAAAAAGAAAGAAAGAAATGCTGAAGCCCCCTTAGCCTCAGATTTTCAAGCCTTATATGTGGCCTTTGTTTTCTCTTGTTCCTTTTTTTTTTATTTTGCCACTTGCCCACCTCCCATTTTTAGAAATTAATTTTACATAAAAAGTTCTGAGTACTCTTGGAAGCTAACTAATATGCATTTTCATTAATCTCAATGTATGCTATTTTCATCCATCTTAATCCTGGTGGTAAAAACATAAGGCAGCTGGCATTATCCAGATTTTGCAATGTGAAAATTGAAGCTAAATGAGATTTTAAAATCAGATAATATAACTAGTATGTGACAAAGTCTGGATTTTAGCCCATGTTTGATGATTTAGCCCCTCATGCTATTTCATCTGCCCATGATCATTTTTAAATTTAATATAGTAAAAAATTAGATTGTTGATTTTTTTATAGATGTTTAAAACATTAAAATTTTCTCTTTATTTTTTTAAGATTTTATTTATTTATTTGACACAAAGAGAGAGATATCACAAGTAGGCAGAGAGGCAGGAAGGCGGGGGGGAAGCAGGCTCCCTGCTGAGCAGAGAGCCCAATGTGGGGCTCAATGCGGGGTTTGATCCCAGGACCCTGAGCCGAAGGCAGAGGCTTAACCCACTGAGCCACCCAGGCATCCCTAAAATTTTCTCTTTAGAC